CAGGGGAGTGACTGGTGAACAGTGTATAAGTATGGAGGAGACTAATGAGGTGCAGCTGGTGAGTAATCAGGGAAGCGGGGCAGGTGTGTTGAATAGTGTAATCAGTGCAAGGGCTAGGCTAGTGTGAGGAAGAAGAAGAGAGGAAGGTGTAGCTGGGCAAACCTGAGACTGATCTTATGGCCCTTTATTCTCTTTTCAAGTCATACTTATTTAAGCAAGAGTTCGATACTGGTTCCACGTAGGGCTTTTGATCGGTTTTGTACTTACTGTGTTTGCTGTGTGTTATGATTTGTTGTCTTATGTTACTCTAACTTTGCATTTGGGTGTTTTATTGTTGCGAGTTTCTATTGTTCTGCTTTATTGCTTATTTTGTTTTCTTTTATTGTGAAGCACTTTGTAACCTTGGTTTAGAAAGGTGCTATATAAATAAACTTTTACTTGCTTGCATTCCTCCTGTACTCACTGTCTGCCTATATTATCCCCTCACACTGAGGATGTCTCCTGATCCAGGGCCTGTGTGCGCACTGCCAATGCTAGCGACAGCCTGCAAAGTGCACCCTGGTGCTGGGGGAACTCCTCACACACGTGATGCAAGATGGCGATAGCAGCGTGCACACGCTCCATCTGGCTTTGTAGAGCAGCTTCCACAGACTCGCTGGTGGATGAGGTTTGATAGCTGCCCTCATGCACGCCCTGCAGCTTCTTGTTTTGGCCCTGTAGGGCCACCAAATGGGCTATATTCTAGAGGGAGGAAGAGATACTGTACACAGTGAGTATACATGGTTTGTATTTTGACTCACACTGATCACAGAACCTGGAGAACCAATGTGAAGTTATCTGGTCTTCACAGTTCAGAATAGCCTACGTGAGTGGCAACTGTGATGCACAAGTGAGTAAGCTTTATCTACTGTACCTGACAAAAAAATGTTTTGATCAACACTGTCACCACACCTTAGTTCAGTTCATTTAACAGTTGCATGCAGAAGACTGAGGGTGCATACTTCAGTTCTGAATGGATACACACCAGCTACTATTTATTACTTAAGTATGTAAACAATGAAGAGGGTGTATTGTAACAAATTTCACTGGAGGTACAAACTAATGTAAGTTTGTAACACAAACAATCAAACAATTTTAAAGCAGAATTAAAGTGCTGTATATTACGTGGTAGTGCGTATTTATGTGTTGTAATGCAGTACACTGTACAGTATTTGCTCCTTACCCTGTCTTTCGTATCGTGGAGATTTCCAAACTCAGGGTCAAGGGCATAGCTGGTGCCATGCAGTTCTATCAGCTGCTGCTTCTTTTGCTTAAGCCTGTTGTTCAGATTCACCTGGCTCTCCTGTATCTCCCTAATCACCTGCTCACATTCTGTCACATGCTGAAGACAGGCATACTGTAAATAAGATAACTGCAACAACATGCTTCAGGCACATACACAGACATGGAAACTCCACTCCTTCTACCTTGTGTGTGTCCTGGATCTTGCGCTGCAGGCCCTGTATGAAGCGGCTCAGCTCGCCTTTTGTTGTTTGTTTGTGGGAGGTGTGGACCATGGCCTCCCTACGAAGGACAATAGTCTCCCTCCTTGCCACTGTTGCTTCACTCTCTCTCAGCAGCTGCTCTTGCTGCTTCATCAACTGGTTGAACCCCACCTGCACAGAGACCCACACTGAGTGAGAGTGCACATTAACACAAGCACATAGAACATCAGCAAAAGCACACAAATCATTAGAGTCTGTGCTACTGTTTATCTATATTTCACTTGTGTTGTTTGGCATTCAGGGTGGACGACAAAGTAAGAATTTCATTGTGCAGGAAAACACATTTCCATACTGTGCATATGACAATAAACACTTTGACATTTGACATTCCCAGGCTATGATAAATTTATCTCAGAGACCCAGCCATTTATTTTTGCTCATTCTACAAAGAGTAGCCGATGTACTCAAAACACATGCTATGCCATTGTTTTAGATGTTGTTTTATCTCAAAGATATGTTTGTAGGCTATGGTGAGGAAGTTAAAAAAAGAAACTTAAAAAAGATGAACATACAATACACAGAGCTCCAAAGAATGAAAAGAGCTGCAGTCAGAATTCCATAATTTAAAATATATGCTGCTGTTAAAAATGGAATAACTAATATAGATAAGAATTATAGAGACCAGTGGTTTGTAGACCCTGGTATATGTGCTATGTGGTCAGAAGAAAATATGATATTTAGTTAAAAACCTGAATAGTAATTACATAACTGTGTTACTGTTTGAGGTAATAAAATTGGCCTTGATGCAGTCTGTGCTTGCTGCATCTTTCTTCCTCACTCTGTCACGACCCTAACAAAAGGACACTGATTTTCATTTAATGCAGGTCAGTAAATTAGCTATGTGATTTGTGTGTGCTCTCTCCCTGTTAGTGAAAATTAATTTAAAAAAGAAAGAAAAAAATACAAAGGTGGTATAGTGGATAGTACAGGTTTAGTCCAGCAGACAAACCTTAAGGCAGAGCCAAACATCTGATCAAGAGCCTAGAGCTTTTCTTTTTTGGTTGTGATAACCATCAGCAATTCTGCAACTGCACTGTCAATATATAAATGGCTTGCAATGCAAAAACAGGTTAGAGTGCACAATATAGCAATAGTGAGGACCAGCTATTTGCACAGATGATGTAATTTCAAAATATAATTTATAAAGAAAATATTGTAACAACAATTTTGCATTTGTATTCACAAGATATGCTGAAACAGTTGAAACTAAAAACCAATTTTAGGATAGTAAAGCCTAATCTTTTACTGCCTCAGTGTACATATTCGAACAGCTGGTTGACAACTCAGTATTACTGTTTACTGTCTTCTCTGTATAATCATATTGCATTCACTGTGTTTACCTCCATACGGTGCATCTCAGCCTTCATCATCTGGATCTCTCCCTGGCCCACATCTGAGTCCACAGCTGAACGAGTCTCTTTTAAAAGCTGGATCTTTTTCTCCCACAGCATTATCTGTCGTCTGCAGGCCACACACACAAACGCATGCACACAACAGAAGAACATATAAACACACACACACACACACACACACACACACACGAAAAAGCAACCAGTATGTGAGATAAATGAGCTGTTAATGTAGAAACAAAAATGACAAAACTAGACTGATATCAGCTGTTAATTGCTGAGTGATTTCATTCCAATGGATATGTAGAAGTTATTTTAAAGTCTTGATTTTTTACAATTATTTGAGCTGACTGACATATAGGCATACTGTAGATATATTAACTTATTCTGAGAAGCAAAAAAATAAACATGTGACTGACTCAGCCTCCACCAGACTGTTGAGGAGTCTTTCTGTTTCCTCCTGGGTCTTCTCAAGTGTCATTGTCATGTCAATATACTCCCACTCTGCCACCTAAACACATTAATCACAGTTAATAATAATAATTTACTATTAAAATGGCAGAATATAACAAAATTAAAACTGAACTCAATGATCCTGCCATGCCTTATGTCTGTGAAGGAACTCTGTCTCCATCAGTGTACTCTGCTGCTCCAGCGTCTGGCTGAGCTGTCTATTCTCGCTCAGCAGTGTGTTGAGCTTTAGCAAATCCCCCCTCAGCATCGTCTCGTTCTTCTCCAGCTCTGCCTGCTCTCCGTGCTCTGCTTTAATCTGACCTGGTGGGGTTGAAGTTGGTATCAACGTTGTTCAAGCCCAGTGTGCACATTGTATATGTGAAAATGGTTTTACTATAGAAAATATACTAATAATGCTAATGCTAAATACAAATCTGACTAATCTTTGTACCTGACCATGCATGTGTGTGCTTCTTTATTGCTATATTACATACTCTCTAATCTAATTTTCTTCTGCTGCATGCCAGTGTACTCTGTCTCTAGTTTGAGCATTTTCTTGCTGTTGGCCTCTATATCCTGAGTCAGTCCTACTAGAGTCCCCTGGCTCTTCATCCAAAGCTGCTGGTCACACTGGATATTCGCTGCCAGCTCCTCATCCTGAGCTATCAAAGCCTCTATTTTGATTTGCAGAGGACTCAGGTCTTCAGGCTGGGGATGGAGGGGCACAAAATCACAAAGGCAACATGTACTTTACTATACATCTGATTGTAAACCTAGTTTCTAATGTACTAACATGTCTGCTATTGTATATATTCACAATTCAAATAGCTTATCTTCTTTGTGCTTTATCCACATAAATAATAGACAGCCAGGGACTACTGCTTCCCCAGAATCTCTCACCCCAGTGCTGGCTGCGATTTGAGAGATCTTTCTGTTGTAGCTGACGATGATGGCCTGCTTCTGCCCGATGAGTGTAACAAAGGAAGAAATCGTAGCCTGTTTGGATGTCAGTAACTTGTCGTACTCTGTGATTTTCACATCTAGGGCTTCCTGGGGGAGGGCCAGGCTATCCAGATGTTGGCCAATCTCACTGCTCTGCAGTCCCACTGCCACCACCTCGTTCTCCCACTGCCGCAACTGAGAGATCTAAAGCGGAGAAATCAAACTCTTAATCAGCTTTATTAGCCAAAGTATGTCGTGCACACAAGGAACTCAAAAAAAGAAAAAATCAAAGGCACTCTTCCGAACAATAATAAAAAGTCTTTATTCTGATGACTCTCACAATGAGGAGTATAAACTATGCATATCCGCACACAGCAGCAAAATGCCTTCTTCAGGGTGTAACCTGCAATACACAGTTTATCCTTAAGTAGATGTGAGACAATTTGTAAACACCCGCTCATAACAATCATCCCATTCATGGCTAAACACCAGCAGGTGGGGAACATGCACATGTTCTTAAATTCCTGCACAGGTCTAGAAACTATAAATCATTGTCTGAAGTTGTGGCTCCAGAGAGAAACTTTCTGGATGCATCAGTTGCAGGTTACATCTTATCCAGGACTGAATGATGATATTAACTTCTGTCCTTTTCTGTAAATATATGTGGTTTATTTTTCTATATTTATATGTGTTTTACATGTAATGCAGATCATGTTTTGTTTATGTCTGTGTGTTGTATTTTCAGGTCTATATTTGTGCAGTCATCTCTTCTAGGCAGGGTTTATATGTGCATGTTCTTAGATTCCCCACCTGCTTTTGTTTAGCCATGAATGGGATGACTGGTTCACTGTTATGAGCAGGTGTTTACAATTGTCTCACATATACTTAAGGATACACAAAGGTTAAAACAAGGCATTGTGTCACTATGCGTGAGCTGTAGCCCACATTTTGAATATGCATAGTTTTAATCCTCACTGTAAGAGAGCCATCAAAATAAAGGCTGTTATATACTGTATATATCAAATCACCGTCATGACAACATGATTACTTATGTGTACTATATATGGAAATTGACTTTAGTGTAGAACATTATCAACCTGTCCCCTCTGACTGAATGATGTCAACTTTCTTAGTAGGTTTTCCCACAGCCTGAAACATTCTAAATATTTTTCGTATATTTCTAAATCCCATCTTTACCTTTTCATTCTTAAGTTTGCCTATCTTGCTGATAAGCCGTTGGGAGTGCTCGGCAGCCTTGTTACGGGTGAGCTTCTGCTGCATGTAGGTCATTATCTTGTCCTCCAACTCCAGACGCACAGCGTTCTCTTTCTCCCGCTGTTTCCTCTGATCATTCACTTCTGCCTGGAGGGTGGTGGTTTCCTAAAATGATAAAGGAAGGAAAGGGGAGTAAAGAA